AATTAAAGCTGACAAATTCACAGACAAAAAGTAGAAAATAATGTTGCACTAACTAAATCATTTTGTCAGTTTTGATATAATAATACATACAGCAAAGCCAACAGCAAATTATAATTATTCACAGTCAGCAGGTAACACAGGTGTTAGGAATGTGTATGTAAATATAGAGTGTGCTCACAATTATACTCGTGCACTAGGTAGATTGATCCAACTCTGCAGGGACTCTTGCTGAATGCAATCTGATTTAGATTGTATGATATGCCTCCTCAAACAGCTAAAGGGTGATTGACTTTCGTGTGCTTAGCCAGAGTTGGATCAATCTAACTAGGACGGTAATCTCATTGTGAACGCACCCTTAGAAAATGTTCTTCTTGTGTCAATGAAGTACCAGCGCAAACCGTACAGTTACCAATCACTTCATCGTTATACCTGGAAAACATCAGACAATCAATGAATGAAGTACACCTATTAACTTAAGGGTTACCTGCATGAGTGTCCCCATTGTGTTAGAGGAGATTTGCAAGTGCCCCATTGTGGTAGAGGAGATATACATAAATTTATATAAAATAATATCATGGTTTACAAAAAAAAAAAAATGTGCGCATACCCGTGCGTATGCCTACTGTAGTTACGCCCAAGCATAATCTGGCTATAGAAACTGGAAGGTAAACAGAAAAATAAAAAAATTAAGAGCCTGTAAACTATGTATTTTAGATGACATTGAGGATGAATTACATTTTATTCCTTTAAGAATTTTAAAATGTTTTTGCTATAGAACGATACATCAAAAATTTATCAAACAAAGCATGGTTGGCATGGTGGTTTCAAGCTAATTAAATTGTTATCCATTAACTATGTTTCACAATTAAACAACTTATGACAGTACTTAAAATTTGCATCGGAGCTAAGATTAGCGTCAGTCTGATGAGTNGGGTACAATTTTAAAAGGTCTGGTTACGCCCCTGTAAGGAGAGGTTAATTTGGCATGTTCACTTTGTTTAAGTCGTATTAGAAGCCAGTAGAAGTGGTTTAAATGCGCATCTTGAAATCCACGCCCGCTTTATATGTATCTTGCCCAAAATTGTTACACATTGGTGCCAGGTCGGCAAACTCATGAGTGTGTATTCCAACTGTCTAGCTAATAAAATGCAACTGTGTTCAAAATTTCTTCAAAAGGGGCATAAAAACAATTATTTGAAGACGAGCATAACATTTAAATCTTCCTGATGCCACCCCTCCTTTTTCCTTCCCTGTGATGGTTACTTCTATACCCATTCATTTAATTCAAAAAAGTTTTAGTATTTTGAAATAAAAAAATATATGCTGAACAAACTCCGAATTTGTTGCTTTGCATCTTTGTTAATACCAGAAATGTCTTATTTAACAGGGGCCTAGGTCTATTTTGACATGACGTGTACATGTACGTAATAGGTAAACAAGTGTGCAACCATAACTTGAAAAATTAAGGTGACAGCTTCCACCACAATGCTGTCAATATATTACTGTCGTCATTTTGTGATGTTGACCTATTAATAATTGATTGTACCATCCGAAAAGAGTGTGTTTGGGTACTGTCCACAATCCGAACACAAAAAACACTGCCCAAGGCACACCCATATATCATCCATACACAGAGAGTGGTCATCATGCAGTTGACACGTCTTTGACCATGTAAGCAGTATTTATCTTATTAAATTGAGCCGACACTGACAGCAGGGATGACATTAACTGAACCCTTGATCACCGGGTGTCATACCAAACCAGGAGAAATTGGGCCAGTCCTTCAAAAATCGTGTATCCATTTGTAAAAAAATCGAAAATGGTTATCCGAATACTGTGTTACTGGTGCGCGCACGTCGGTTTATCTATTTATTTTATTTTATATTACTTCCTTCCATTTGATGTCGGGGGCAACGTGCGTGTTTCTACTGGCTGCTTGTCTAGTACAACTAGGAGAGAAACAGATTTCGATATAAACAGAATACGAATTACCTGCTTAATAAACTTCCAGCACTTGCAGATATTATAGACAGGATAAAGATGGCAAATTGTTAAACAATCACAATAATAAAACTAGAAAAGCACTCAGGGAGCTCAACCCCCGCCAAGATAAATAATTACGTAATAACTAACCAATACATATTAGATAATTAAGTACTAATCAGAAAAATCTTATCATTTATTCCTTGGTCCATTTGCGACATAAGATGAAAATTAAAAAAAATTAATGGATCACTACCAAATTTTGATCTTTTCCTTCTTGAGCCATGATTTGTGGCTTATGACTGTATTATAATTTCTGCCGTAAATCCAATAAAATAATCAAATAACTGTACGTCTCTTTATATATAGAGGTGAAAATGATCCCCTTAAAAATTTTAGTGCACATATTACAAACAATGATTGATTATTTATAAATATATAAAGTGAAGAAGTTTGTATCAATGTTTCATTCGCCTGGAACCATGAATAATCAAAAATAATTCATCGTCCTACATGTACCCGAAGTCGCATTTTATCAGATGAAGTCGATTTGTCAGTAAAATCAGGGCATTTATCCCATGAAGTGGTAATATACCATGAAGTAAATATCTTAACACACGTTACTGTCACAAATACGAAACGTCTAGCTGTGGAAACGTTTTACTTACTTAGAAAATTCAAGCATCACTGGTTTTGTTCTTTAATTTACATGTATCTCCTACAAGTATAACGTTGTAAACATTATGATAATCTTCTGTATATAGCTGTTCATTATTGTACCACCAGCGTTAGCGCTGGCGGTACACATGGTTTCGGTCTCGTCCGGATCGTTCCGCCGGCTCCGCCGGCTCCGCCGGACGGCTACCGTTACCGCTTCTCCTCCTAGACGGTAAGGGCCCCCGTACCCATCTCTTGGATTTAGGTCACCTATAATCTCAGCTCGTTCCACGTAAAATTTGGGCTTTGCCGGTATTGGGGTCTGGGTGTGGCACTCATTGCAATGCACCCTTGTCCAAAAATGGCAAAATTAAATGCTAATTATCTACCCTACGGAAGGGGTTATGGGAAAAATTACAGACGGCTTTCCAAAAGTCATATGTGTAGATTTCAAATATGCCCTTGGATTTGACCTTTGACCTTTACTTCAAGGTCAAACGGGCCAAAATTTTCAAAAAAATAATATTTTTTATGAAAAAATTTTTTTTTGCCCTGTTATTCAGACACCATACAGACTTAACCAATAATATTATTGGAAAGTGTTACCCTTCAGGTCATCTTTCATCTCCGTGAATTTGGGGTCAATCAGTGCATTTTCACTGGAGTAACGGCCATAAGATGCCGAAACTGAAAACTGTCTCTAATTCGGGAACCGTTAATGCTAGAGACCCATTCTTTTTTGCATTTTGTAGAGCATGTAAAGCCCAACACTGAAAGTGGTCTCCGTTTTTTTGTATTCCAAACGGTTTTCGAGTTGCGCTATCAAAAAGTACATATTGGTGGTGAAAGCAAAATGTGCAGTACGGTATAGTCAGGTGGCTCAGTCCAAATTTTTTCCAGAATTGTGCAATAGATGATAAAAGCATGAAACTTTCCCCGATGAATAACCATTGGGTGTTCATCTATTTTGGATCAGGGGGTTGACAAGCACCCAATGGTCATTCATCGTGGAAAATTTCATGCTGTNTGTGACCTTGAAATTGACATTTGACCTACTTTTCACCATGAACTGAACTTTGCAAATTTTGCTTCCCTTTTATCTCCCAAACTGGCAGAGATAGGTTCAAAGTTACTTTTGAAGTTGAATAGGAAGTCATATACTGGCAATCTTACTGTGAAATTGACCTTTCACCTACCTTTTGATGAACTTTTGATATATTTTTTTGCATATTTTGAAAATTCTTGTTGATTGCATTTTTACAGCTTGTCAAGCAAAAGACTGGTGGCTGTGTCCCTTATTTTGTGTATGTGGGGGTCTATACGAATGCGCTTGCTCCAGCTGGTGGTACAATATTCGGAGGCGGTATCTCCTCTCTGATCCTCTAGTTTTGAGCGACTTTTGTCTGCTTGTCACTGAATATTGCTTGTATAAAATGGGGGGGAGGGATACACTCTATTTACAGTAAAATAAGTTACACTTTAAATATTTATAAAAACATCCTTGCTTCTTATATAATTTACCATAACTGAATCGCTACAAAATATATTAGAACGCTTTATAATAATTAAAATTATATGGCCAGGAACATACGTTACCGGAACATAGGTTACCATTTAGGCTTTTTACATAATGTATAGACATGGTAAAAATTAAATATGGATTTAAAATTGAGACAGCCGTGGATTTATGCTCTAAACACATATGTTTTAAAAAACTGAATACAGTATTGAATTCATTTAATTTTATTTCTTTTGATACTTCAGCATGTGAAATAGACCTCTATAATGGGTTTGGGTGTTTACTAGCACATGATATTCTGCAAATTAACGTATCTTTCCCTTCTGAGATATTTTAAATAACAATAAAACTCCTCAAATATATGTACCCGATTCGATATTTTCCCTCTGAAATGTACAGGAAGATATGATGGTCTGAACGGCATGAGATGAGAAACATTAATAACCGAATTGTTACAATAAAATGGTATAAAACGCCGTATCCAAGTGCATGGACAGACTGAGCAGTGATTCGTGAGTAAGAGAAAATGATTTTTTTTTATCAAGAAAACCCGATCAGACGCGAAACTGCGGGATAAGATACCTTGAATTCGACGACATACAGACCTGCTTAGGAAAAAAAAACAGGCGAAGCCGATGCTATGGGAACGAACAGCCATCTGGAAAATGAATATCAGTGGGAATATCAGGGATAAAACCTTCAAGCGTAAGATATATAGTGGCCCATTCATATGGAGATTTTAAAATGACGAAATTGACAATTGTTATTTCAGAAGCTTGGGGTACGATTCACAAAAAAAACGATGTAAATTTACTGGACGTATAGAAAACATTGCCTGTGAGAAATAATTTTCTGCAGCAGGCTGTTGCGCAGTGGCTGCACACAGAGTAAGACACACAGCGCAGGGGTGTGTCCATTTGCCTAACCTATAAAAAGATTAACTGGAAAGATAGAATGACAGTAGAGCAAACCCTTGGAAGAGACAAGGTCAAGAATCACTAGTACTTCGACTGAACCTCTAGCCGACGACCATGAAGAAGTGGCAAGTATTTGCAGTCCTCATGACGGCCCTTCTCCTCGTGCAGATGTTTGCTGTTACAGAAGGTTATTGACTTTTTATTTCTCTCTCTTTCTCTCTCTCTCTATATATATATACTCGAGGAAAAAAGAAACGCAACACTCAGTTTTTGGGAGTTTGGGGGGGAGGGCAGAATAATTTTTTTTTGAAATCCGTCAGTTTTATATGAACCCCACATCCATTTCTAATCCTCAGGCCAACTTTTTTGGCGTTTACACATTTTTGAATCCAATAACACAGCCAAACAATAGAGCCCCCACCCCCCAACCAAAATTGACAGGAATTGCATCATGCTGTCAATAGTTCACGTGACCCCCGTTGGCATCCTGGATAGCGGATATTCGTCGCCTCATGGATCGGCAGTAGTGTTTGAGTTGATCCTGTGGAATTTCCGCCCATTCTTCCATCAGTGCCGCCCTCTGCTGAGTTTCGCTGCTGAGTTTCGGGAGGATGTTCACGTCGGCGGACACGCAAACTGAGCAGATCCCATACATTTTCAATGGGATTTAAGTCCGGACTATTGACAGTATGATGCAATTCCTGTCACTTTTGGTGTGTGTGTGTGTGTGTGGGGGGGGGGGGGGGGGCTCTTTTGTTTGGTTGTGTTATGTGACTCATAAAAATTCAATGTGTAAACGCTGAAAAAGTTGGCCTGAGGATTAGAAATGGATGTAGGGTTCATATAAAACTGGCAGATCATAAAGATAAAATTATTCTGCCCTTCCCCCCCCCCCCCAAAAAAAAAAAAAAAAAAAAAAAAAAAATCCCATAACTGAATGTTGCGTTTCTTTTTTCCTTGAGTGTATTTCCGTTGGATAAACCGTCGCCCGACTTTTAAATTTTAATTAAAACTAGTCACTACGTATGACAGTATTGCGCTGTATTTTCATATTACTGAACGTTTTTTTTTAAATACGTAATTAATAAGATCCAATGCATACAGTTTTCATAAAAGTAACTGTTACTTCAAATAGGCATTGCCGGTGTGACAGGAATGGTAGTCCTAGTAATGGACGTCCGGTGTCCCATATGATAAGTACATGATTGGGGTCAGTCGTAGTATTGGGGTTAGCATATGGGACAAATGTCACCCGTTCAAATTAATGAGTACATTAATTATTATAGGGCATGCGCGTCGCCGGCGTTCTCGGCGGGGTATTAAAATCCTGTATGATGATGATGAAAAGTCTCAGGTAAATTTTAATCACACATAAAATTAACTTCATCTAAAAGTAGAGAGTTTTTTTACTTTTTCCAAATTCACAAACATCATATTGAACAGTTGATGCAGATAGAATAACATACATTTTTCTTGAATATTTCTTGATCATTTTTGTATTTCTTTTGGTTTAAAAGCATGTATTGTCTAAAACTCTGCGATAACGTATTCGAATCTAATTTTTGATAGTGTTGGACAGACGTACCAGTATATAACCTTAAATACTGCATATTACAAACCTAGAGATTTATAAAAAAAATAAATGCTCTTTTTTAGAATGAAGCCAGATATTTAGAGCGATTATTGGAGGAGGAGGACCTTGGAGAATTCGAGTAAAATACCTTGATGTGGAGGTGTTAGTCACAGGATTAGCTAGCCAATGACACAGAACCTTAGTTAAAGTATGAAGTCTCTAGTAAAACGGATTAATGCACGGCTTGAACTGTAATAATTTACATTTGCACGTGACACAAATAAGGAACATCAAACCGAAGAAAATTGCCCGCAATGTATGCAGTGACATGCTAGTATTTGCAAACTAATTCGAGTTGAGAAGTGCTATTTGACTGATATTTACCACCATATTTAAGAGGTTTAAACTACTATGTACTGGAGACCACCTTAATGGTGACATAAACTACACAAAGAATTCTCGGTGTACAAGTAGTACAGAAAAGTGTACGGAATTAACCAGAGACATATCTTTCAGTGTGAATATCAAGTGATGATTAATCTGTAGCCCTCTTAGAGGGTAAGTTGAAACCCTACTGCTATACTAGACTTTTCATCATATGAAAAATAAATATTCTTAAAAACAAGCATTTTTCGTTTTGATTTAAATAAGGTACAGGTGGCTTTATTGCCAACGGCTTATCACTGGGTTGATCCATTTTAAACTTAAAACCCTTACTCTTGATCATGAATTCTTTACAACTAAATATCTAGAAAAAAAAGTAGAAAATAATGTTGCACTAACTAGATCATTTTGTCAGTTTTGATGTAATAATTAATCAGGGACGGATCCGGATATATTTTCTGACAGTCTTCCAAATTATCTTTGTTGATCCATCCCCCATTTTTGATCGTCTTCCGACAGAAAAAATAGATACCCGTCTATGTAAACTTAAAAATCTGACCGTCTTCCGGAAGACCCAGAAGACGGCCTAAATCCGCCCCTGTAATACATACATCAAAGCCAACAGCAAATTATAATTATTCACAGTCAGCAGGTAACACAGGTGTTAGGAATGTGTAAGTGTATGTAAATAAAGAGTGTGCTCACAATTGTACTCGTGTACTAGGTAGATCGATCCTACTCTGCAGGGACTCTTGCTGAATGCAATCAGATTTAGATTGTATGACACGCCTCCTCAAGCAGCTTAAGGGTGAATAACTTTCGTGAGCTTAGTCAGAGTTGGATCAATCTAACTAGGACGGTAATTTAATTGTGAACGCACCCTAAGAAAATGTTCTTCTTGTGTCAATCAGTAGCAGGGACAATGAAGTGCCAGCGCAAACCGTACAGTTACCAATCACTTCATCGTTATATCTGAAAAACATCAGACAATCGATGAATGAAGTACACCTATTGTTTTAGATGATGTCTGCATAAGTGTCTCCATTGTGTTAGAGGATATTTGCAAGTGCCCCACTGTGTTAGAGGAGATCTACATGTGCGCATACCCGTGCGTATGCCTACTGTAGTTACGCCCATGCATAATCTGGCTATAGAAACTGGAAGGTAAACAGAAAAATAAAAATTAAGAGCCTGTAAACTATGTATTTTAGATGACATTGAGGATGAAATACATTTTATTCCTTTAAGAATTTAAAAATGTTTTTGCTATAGAACGATTGGGCAGAAATACATCAAAAATTTATCAAACAAAGCATGGTTGGCATGGTGGTTTTAAGCTAATTAAATTGTTATCCATTAACTATGTTTCACAATTAAACAACTTATGACAGTACTTAAAATGTGCATCGGAGCTAAGATTAGCGTCAGTCTGATGAGTTTTATCGTTACTACTAGTAGTTGTATTTCTGCTGTTTTCATGACTGTATATTTTTATTGCATTTCATTCTGATGAGCCATAGGGCGCAACGTTTTAATAAAATGAATTGAATTTCACAAATAACATGGACCTCATATGGAATGATCAACAGTTCTCTCAAGTCATTCGAATGCAGTGTTTTATACAACTTGGGTTAACCATAATTAAATGTTAGTTAAAGAATTGAATAGACGGAAAATGGCTTTACACAGCTTCACGAGGATTTAGACCCCTCGGGTAAGAGATTTCAATGAGTATGAACTTTTATCAGGAGCCAGAAAAGTCATCTTACAGGTAGACAATGCAGCTCAGTTTGACAGCTAAACACGCTGCTTGTCTCTCTCCCCTCCGGTGGCACTATTGTCGTCATCGGTCCATGTGACCACGTAGCTCATTAACTCACAAGCTAAGCAAAAAGGACGTTTTTTAAAGTCAAAAATTTACAAAATGAGCTTTTAATTTGTGTATTTGGTTAAAGATATCGTTAGCTGGGCATGTTTTCTGAAGAATATGCAACCTATTCATAATTTCTTCAAAAGGAGTAAAAAAAGTTTTAAACAACTACGAACGTAACATTTAAATCTTCCTGATGCCACCCCCTCCTTTTTAACTTCCCTTTGATAATTATTTCATATCCATTCATTTAATTCAAACAAGTTTTGAAATAAAAGGTATTTGATGAACAAGCGCTGACTTTGATGCTTTTCATCCTTGTTTATACCAGATATGTCTTATTTGACATAGGCCTAGGTCTATTTTGGCATCACGTGTACATGTACGTAATGGGTAAGGGAAACCAGTGCGCAACTTCAACCATAACTTGAAAAATTAAGGTGGCAGTTTCCACCACAATGCTGTAAATATATAACTGTCATCATTCTGGATCGTTGTGAAGTTAATCATTGATTGTACCATCCGAAAAGCCTGTCTTTTGGACACTGTCCACAATCCGAACACAAAAAACACTGCCCAAGGCACACCCATATATCATCCATACACAGACAGTGGTCATCATGCAGTTGACACGTCTCCACAGATGTCAGTTATATCTATTGTTAAAAGTAAAACTTTCAGCAACTGTGACCATGTAAGCAGTATTTACGTCTTATTGAATTGAGCCGACACTGACAGCAATGATGACATTAACTGAACCCTTGGGCTCATACCAAACCAGGAGAAATTGGGCCAGACCTTTAAAACCGTGTATTCATCTGTAAAAATGTGGAAGTGGTTATCCGAATACTGTGTTACTGGTGCGCGCACGTTGGTTTATTTATTTATTTATTTTATTTTATATTACTTCATTCCATTTGGTGTCGGTGGTAACGTATGTGTTTCTACTGGCTGCATGACTAGTACAATTAGGAGAGAAACAGATTTCGATATAAACAGAATACGAATCACCCGCTTAATAAACTTACAATCACAATAATAAAACTAGAAAAGCACTCAGAAAGCTCAACCTCCGCCAAGATAAATTATTACGTAATAACTAACCAATGCCTAGTTAATTCAGTACTTATCATTTATTCCTTGGCCCATTTGTGACATAAGATGAAAATTTAATTAACATTACCAAAATCTGATCTTTTCCTTCTTGAGCCATGATTTGTGGCTTATGACTGTATTATAATTTCTGCCGTAGATCCAATAAAATAATCAAATTACTGCACGTCTCTTTATATGTAGAGGTGCAAATGAGGTCACAGGCATGCCCTTCAAATTTTAGTGCACATATTACAATGTTTGATTATTTAAGAGTCCCACATGAAGAAGTTTGTATCAAAGTTTCATCCGCCTGGAACCATGAATAATAAAAAAATAATTCATTGTCTTACATGTACCCGAAGTCGCATTTTAGCCTGTGAAGTCGATTTGTCAGTTAAATCAGGGCATTTATCCCATGAAGTGGTAATATACCATGAAGTACATATCTTAACACACGTTACTGTCACAAATGCAAAACGTCTAGCTGTGGAAACGTTTTCCTTACTTTGAAAATTCAATCATCACTGGTTTTGTTCTTTAATTCACATACATCTCCTACAAGTATAACGTTGTAAAAATTATGATAATCTTCCGTATAGAGCAGTTCATTTTTGAGCGACTTTTGTCTGCTTGTCACTGAATATTACATGTATTAAATGGGAGGGGGATACACTCTATTGACAGTAAAATAAGTTACATAAAATAACTTTAAATATTAATCAGTAAAATAAGTTCAAATCAGTAAACATTAAAATAAGTTTAAATATTTATAAACACATCCTTGCGTCTTATATAATTTACCATAACTGAATCGCTACAAAATATATTAGAACGCTTTACAATAATTAAAATTATATGGCCAGGAACATACGTTACCGGAACGTAGGTTACCATTTAGGCTTTTTACATAATGTATAGACATGGTAAAAATTAAATATGGATTTAAAATTGAGACAGCCGTGGATTTTTGCTCTAAACACATATGTTTTAAAAAACTGAATACAGTATTGAATTCATTTAATTTTATTTCTTTTGATATTTCAGCATGTGAAATAGACCTCTATAATGGGTTTGGGTGTTTACTAGCACATGATATTCTGCAAATTAACGTATCTTTCCCTTCTGAGAATTTTTAAATAACAATAAAACTCCTCAAATATATGTACCCGATTCTATATTTTCCCTCTGAACTGTACAGGAAGATATGATGGTCTGAACGGCATGAGAAACATTAATAACCTAATTGTTACAATAAAATGGTATAAAACGCTGTATCCAAGTGCATGGACAGACTGAGCAGTGATTCGTGAGTAAGAGAAAATGATTTTTTTATCAAGAAAACCCGATCAGGCGCGAATATGCGGGATAAGATACCTTGAATTCGACGACATACAGACCTGCTTAGGAAAAAAAACAGGCGAAGCCGATGCTATGGGAACGAACAGCCATCTGGAAAATGAATATCAGTGGGAATATCAGGGATAAAACCTTCAAGCGTAAGATATATAGTGGCCCATTCATATGGAGATTTTAAAATGACGAAATTGACAACTGTTATTTCAGAAGCTTGGGGTACGATTCACAAAAAACGATGTAAATTTACTGGACGTATAGAAAACATTGCCTGTGAGAAATAATTTTCTGCAGCAGGCTGTTGCGCAGTGGCTGCACACAGAGTAAGACACACAGCGCAGGGGTGTGTCCATTTGCCTAACCTATAAAAAGATTAACTGGAAAGATAGAATGACAGTAGAGCAAACCCTTGGAAGAGACAAGGTCAAGAATCACTTCGACTGAACCTCTAGCCGACGACCATGAAGAAGTGGCAAGTATTTGCAGTCCTCATGACGGCCCTTCTCCTCGTGCAGATGTTTGCTGTTACAGAAGGTTATTGACTTTTTATTTCTCTCTCTCTCTCTCTCTCTCTCTCTCTCTCTCTCTCTATATATATATATATATATACTCGAGGAAAAAAGAAACGCAACACTCAGTTTTTGGGAGTTTGGGGGGGGGGGCAGAATAATTTTATTTTTGAAATCCGTCAGTTTTATATGAACCCCACATCCATTTCTAATCCTCAGGCCAACTTTTTTGGCGTTTACACATTTTTGAATCCAATAACACAGCCAAACAATAGAGCCCCCACCCCCCAACCAAAATTGTCAGGAATTGCATCATGCTGTCAATAGTTCACGTGACCCCCGTTGGCATCCTGGACAGCGGATATTCGTCGCCTCATGGATCGGCAGTAGTGTTTGAGTNTGAGGTAGACAATGCAGCTCAGTTTGACAGCTAAACACGCTGCTTGTCTCTCTCCCCTCCGGTGGCACTATTGTCGTCTTCGGTCCACGTGACCACGTAGCTCATTAACTCGCAAGCTAAGCAAAAAGGACGTTTCTTAAAGTCAAAAATTTACAAAATGAGCTTTTAATTTGTGTATTTGGTTAAAGATATCGTTAGCTGGGCATGTTTTCTGAAGAAAATGCAACTATATTCATAATTTCTTCAAAAGGAGTAAAAAAAGTTTTTTAAAAACAACTACGAACGTAACATTTAAATCTTCCTGATGCCACCCCCTTCTTTTTAACTTACCTTTGATAATTATTTCATATCCATTCATTTAATTCAAACAAGTTTTGAAATAAAAGGTATTTGATGAACAAGCGCTGACTTTAATGCTTTTCATCTTTGTTTATACCAGATATGTCTTATTTGTCTATTTTGGCATCACGTGTACATGTACGTAATGGGTAAGGGAAACCAGTGCGCAACTTCAACCATAACTTGAAAAGTTAAGGTGGCAGTTTCCACCACAATGCTGTAAATATATAACTGTCATTATTCTGGATCGTTGTGAAGTTAATCATTGATTGTACCATCCGAAAAGCCTGTCTTTTGGACACTGTCCACAATCCGAACACAAAAAACACTGCCCGAGGCACACCCATATATCATCCATACACAGAGAGTGGTCATCATGCAGTTGACACGTCTCCACAGATGTCAGTTATATCTATTGTTAAAAGTAAAACTTTCAGCAACTGCGACCATGTAAGCAGTATTTACGTCTTATTAAATTGAGCCGACACTGACAGCAATGATGACATTAACTGAACCCTTGGGATCATACCAAACCAGGAGAAATTGGGCCAGACCTTTAAATACCGTGTATTCATCTGTAAAAAAGTGGAAGTGGTTATCCGAATACTGTGTTACTGGTGCGCGCACGTCGGTTTATTTATTTATTTATTTATTTATTTATTTATTTATTTATTTATTTTATTTTATATTACTTCATTCCATTTGGTGTCGGTGGTAACGTATGTGTTTCTACTGGCTGCATGACTAGTACAATTAGGAGAGAAACAGATTTCGATATAAACAGAATACGAATTACCCGCTTAATAAACTTACAATCACAATAATAAAACTAGAAAAGCACTCAGAAAGCTCAACCTCCGCCAAGATAAATTATTACGTAATAACTAACCAATGCCTAGTTAATTTAGTACTTATCATTTATTCCTTGGCCCATTTGCGACATAAGATGAAAAATTAATGGATCCTTACCAAAATCTGATCTTTTCCTTCTTGAGCCATGATTTGTGGCTTATGACTGTATTATAATTTCTGCCGTAGATCCAATAAAATAATCAAATTACTGTACGTCTCTTTATATGTAGAGGTGCAAATGAGGTCACAGGCATGCCCTTAAAATTTTGGTGGCTGCACACAGAGTAAGACACACAGCGCAGGGGTGTGTCCATTTGCCTAACCTATAAAAAGATTAACTGGAAAGATAGAATGACAGTAGAGCAAACCCTTGGAAGAGACAAGGTCAAGAATCACTTCGACTGAACCTCTAGCCGACGACCATGAAGAAGTGGCAAGTATTTGCAGTCCTCATGACGGCCCTTCTCCTCGTGCAGATGTTTGCTGTTACAGAAGGTTATTGACTTTTTATTTCTCAATATATACATATATATATATCGGTTGGATAAACCGTCGCCCGACCTTTAAATTTTAATTTCTCAAAACTAGTCACTACGTATGACAGTATTGCGCTGTATTTTCATATTACTGATCGTTTTTTGAAATACTAATTAATAAGATCCAATGCATACAGTTTTTATAACAGTAACTGTTACTTCAAATATGCAATGCCGGTGTGACAGGAATGGTAGTCCTAGTAATGGACGTCCGGTGTCCCATATGATAAGTACAGATTGGGGTCAGTCGTAGTATTGGGTTAGTATATGGGACAAATGTCACCCGTTCAAATTAATGAGTACGTTAAATATTATAGGGTTTGCGCGTCGTCGGCGGAGGGCTGTTCAAATCTCGGATAATGCTGATGGTGGCAAAGAAAAGTCTCAGGTAAATTTTGATCACGCATAAAATTAACTTCAACTAAAAGTAGAGAGTTTCAGTTTTTTTTTTACTTTTTTTTTACCATTTCCAAATTCACAAACATCATCTTGAATAGTTGATGCAAATAGAATAGCATACATTTTTCTTGAATATTTCATGATCATTTTTGTATTTCTTTTGATTTAAAAGCATGTATTGTCTAATAACGTATAGTTATTGATAACGTATAGTGTTGGACAGACGTACCAGTATATAACCTTTAATACTGCATATTAGAAACCTAGAGATTTATAGAAAATAAATGCTCTTTTTTTTAGAATGATGCCCGATATTTAGAGCGATTATTGGAGGAGGAGGAGGACCTTGCGGAATTCGAGTAAAATACCTTCATGTGGAGTCACAGGATTAGCTAGCCAATGACACAGAATATTAGTTAAAGTATGAAGTCTCTAGTAAAACGGATTAATGCACGGCTTGAACTGTAATAATTTACATTTGCACGTGACACAAATAAGGAACATCAAACCGATAGAAAATTGCCCACAATGTATGCAGTGACATGCTGGTATTTGCAAACTAATTCGAGTTGAGAAGGCTATTTGACTGATATCAACGTCCACCATATAGGTTTAGCTATTCTGTTCTAGAGACCACCTGAACGATGACATTAACTTTACTACATAAAGAATACTCGCTGTACACGCAGTACAGAAAAGTGTACGGAATTAACCGGAGACATATCTGTCAGTGTGAAAATCAAGTGATGATCAATCTTTGGCCCTCTTAGAGGGTAAGTTAAAACCCTACTGCTATACTAGACTTTTTATTAAAAATTCAAAAAATAAATATTCTTAAAAACCAGCATTGTTCGTTTTGATTTAAATAAGGTACAGGTGGTTTTATTGGCAACAGCTTATCACTGGGTTAATCCGTTTTAAACTTACATCCCTTACTCTTGAATTTTTTACAACTAAATACCTCAGAAAACTAGGAGCCAAAGCTGTCAAATGCACAGACAATAGGAGAAAAAATGATGCACAAAAAAGGTCATTTTGTCAATTTTGAAGCAATAATACATGCAGCAAAGTCAACAGCAAATCTTAATTATTCACAGTCAACAGTACTCTAGGTTCTAGATTTCAGTATTGCCAGCTCGCTCTTGATTTCACATAGGCCTATAACCCATATCAGCACTGTAAAGCTACCACATGAATAGTTATTGTGAGCAAGCTAGCTATATAGTGCCCTGACACTCAGGGCAAGTCAACAGGTAACACACGTAATATAGGGCGTGCTCACAATTAAACTTATGTACTAGGTCGACCTGTCCAACTCTACAGGGACTCTTGCTGAATGCAATCAGACATAGATTAAATGACACGCCTCCTCAAGCAGCTAAAGGATGATTAACTTTCGTATGCTGATTCAGAGTTGGATCAATTTACTTAGGACGGTAGTTTCATTGTTAACGCACCCGTAGAATATCAAAATGTTCTTCTTGTGTCTATCATTATCAGGGACAAGGAAGTGTCCGCCCAAACCGTACAGAAACTGATCACTTCATCGTTATATCTGAAAAACATCAATGAACGAAGGACACCTATTGTCTTAGATGATATCTGCATAAGTGTCCCCATTTTGTTAGAGGAGATTTGCAGAAATGCCCCACAGTCCCTTTAAGATCAGCTAAAATGAGCCATACCTGTCTGTCATCTGCATAACAATAAGTTGCTCAACGTAGTGCGAGCTGTCTTCCCGACTGCTCACTGGGCAGGAGGGCACAGCAGGGAGAAGACGTTCAGCGTTTGTGGTGCAGTCGCCAGGTCATAGAAGCAAATCCATGTTTCGTAAGTATTACTTTTTTCTACATTAACCGCTATCAGTAGATAGAAAAAGCGTAAGAGAATGCCAGGAAATTTGTGACATGTATTCATGTTATGATTCTTTGTTACATTTTGTCTGTCGTTTCTTTATATCACTCAGAATATTAGCTAGCATGTTGGTAGATGGGAATAATATTACAAAGATCAAGGAGTAATTTAGATATTAATGCTGTACTTGTCACAGTTCTGAGTTTTTAATCCAAAGACAAGCGTGCTCCATCAACTTCTACACCAATTTTATGGTCAAAGTTCATCAAAAATTCAAACGTCTCCCTTCGCGACACTCACGATAAAAAGAAAAAACATTTTGATCTGAATAATCTTATGGCTACTTTTTGACTCTTTGGAGTTTCATTTCTTTTTATCAATTTTAAATCAGTTTTTGTGGATTTGTTTATTTTATTATACATGAACCTGTAAAAATGTTTGTAAGCAGTGTTGAAATACGAGAAAATGATTTCTAATAAAGCGAAATGTGCCCCCCCCCCCCCCAAAAAAAAAAAAAACTCGTGATGCATAGCGATTTTAGATATTATAACATTAAATAGTAGGTAAAATAAATTAACGTCCTTAGAAATAACCTCCGCGAATCAAGTGTTTTCAATATTTATTTTTTCAAAGCAAGATATCTCAAATATCTTTATTAATAATTCAGATCTTAATTTTGGCGTAAGGCAACTTCGTTATCGATTACTTTTTGGGTGCTATCTGAGCCTGAACAGCCGATAAGTCGGTAGACACACGCATCATTTCATGTGCCTTCTTCTCTTTGATGTAAAATGCATAAGTTGAATTTTCCGAGCTTATCCGTTTAGTCGGACATTGTTAACATTACTTTCTCGTTTCAGAGGTCCACTGAGATGCTTCAAGTGCTGCACGACACGCCCCTGCTAGCAACCAAGCCTTTCATTCACGTTCTGGAACCCTACGCACATTCATGCAAATATTGTATACGTATTAAAGCTGAATATGTTTGTAATTCCTATTTACTTTGATTTGAAATAATGACGAAAAAGATAGTAGTACTGTAATAGTAAAGGGAAAGGAAAGAGGTAAAATTATAAAGATATGATAACTGTTGGAGAACTTACAAATTTAATCTGCTAAAACTGATCTGTAAATGATGTGTTTGGATTGATTTCTCCATTAACAGAAGATATTTTAAATAAGAGGGTTTCAAAGGTTTGTTAATATGTCCATTATTTTGTCAATAATTGAGTTTGAGCATTATAAGAATACAAGAATTTCCATCAGCCCACATTCAAAAATGCAATTTGTATGAATTTATGATTTTGCTTTTTGAAAATCTGTTCAACATTTCATTATATAGTTAGACAGTTGTTTGTATCTATTGGAATAAATTAATTCATTCTCCCAAATATCATTTTCTTAATTTAATATGGGTCCATTTTCAAAGGGTTCTGGTTTTTGCTACAGAAGAATTCATTTAAATTTCATGACCTTCCCACCATATGAATACTTCAATTTTAAATTTCAGCAGAAAAATGAGAAAGATGATAGATCCTGTCACACTTTTGAAAAGCCAACAGTTGAAATTTATTCCTCTCCTAACTAGTTAATCTGCTATTCTGATATATTTGAAATGTCTTTTTGAATTAATATTGGAAATAAATTGATCCTTTGATTTAATTTTGTGACCTAGTTTATTTCCACACTCACGTGCAGACAAAAATGTTACATTTTTATTTGTGGAAAAGCAAATTAAAAAAATTAATATATGCCTATTTTTGTATAATACAAGTTTATATCCCCTGAAATCTTTGCTAGCACAATATTATCAAATATAGTTTAAAATATGTTAATTTATATAGTTTTTGTACCAGTATTATAATGCTTCCTCAAATTAAATGGTTCCCCCACCTGTCACCCCTCAGATGGAATGGACTCTCTCCACCTATCACCCCTCAAATCAAATGGAGTCAACTCACCCCACCTGTCAGCCCTCAAATTGAATGGACTTGCCCCTCCCCACCTGTCATCCCTCAGATCAAATGGATTTGGTCCACCTGTCATCCCTCAGAAGGGACTCACCCCATCTGTCACCCATAAAATGAATAGACTTGCCCAACCTGCCACTCCTCAAATGGAATGGACTCGACCCACCTGTCACCCCTCAGATGAAATGGACTTTTCCCACCTGTCACCCCTCAAATGAAATGGATTAGACCTACCTGTTACCCCTCAGATGGAATGGACTTGTACAACCTTTAACCCCTCAAATTGAATGGACCTATCACCCCTAAGATGGAATGAACTCACCCCACATGTAACCCTTTAAATGGAATGGAATTGCTCCACCTGTCATTCCTATGTATACTGGACCCACTTCTAACCCTCTACTGAATCCGTCTCTACTGTCACCAGCATCAGTGCAGTCACACAAAACACTTATATAGGATTTCTTCTGGGGCAATACTGGGATTTTCCTGAACTTAACTCAAAGAATCAATAACGCTGTGCCAAAAGGGATAATTATTAGTTGTTTGTAGTGCTTTTAATCTACCTTTTGACCAGGTCCACATTTTATTATCCCCGATTCTGACAGTTCACAGAGAAAAAGCACTTTCCACTTACTCTTATTTTCTTCATCAAGAAGTATTTTTTGCTATGAAAGTTTTGGTGCCTTGTGGTACTTTTAACGCTTGATTTTCATAATCGAACACTATCATTGCTCCATTTATTTTATACCAAGTAACTTAAATACACCTTCATGTTTCCATTTATTTCTTTTGTTTTATATCAATTAAGTCTTGGACCTAAACATGAATTATTATGTCCATGATTAAGTTCAAAAGCTTCTATTCGCACACAAAGGCCGCCAGAAGCTAGTGTCCTGTCCAGAGTTGCCGAGGTATAGTCTTAGTATATCAAAAGACTAAATGTGCAATGGCACTCTTAAAATGCACTGTATACTGCTCTTCAAAGAGGGTTTGTGATGGCTTTACTATGGCAAAGGTTCATAAACAGTCATAAGGGAAAACAAGGCAGCAAAGCTGTNTATGTATACTGGACCCACTTCTAACCCTCTACTGAATCCGTCTCTACTCTCACCAGCATCAGTGCAGTCACACAAAACACTTATATAGGATTTCTTCTGGGGCAATACTGGGATTTTCCTGAACTTAACTCAAAGAATCAATAACGCTGTGCCAAAAGGGATAATTATTAGTTGTTTGTAGTGCTTTTAATCTACCTTTTGACCAGGTCCACATTTTATTATCCCCGATTCTGACAGTTCACAGAGAAAAAGCACTTTCCACTTACTCTTATTTTCTTCATCAAGAAGTATTTTTTGCCATGAAAGTTTTGGTGCCTTGTGGTGCTTTTAACGCTCGATTTTCATAATCGAACACTATCATTGCTCCATTTATTTTATACCAAGTAACTTAAATACACCTTCATGTTTCCATTAATTTCTTTTGTTTTATATCAATTAAGTTCAAAAGCTTCTATTCGCATACAAAGGCCGCCAGAAGCTAGTGTCCTGTCCAGAGTTGCCAAGGTGTAGTCTTAGTATATATATAAAGACTAACTGTGCAATGGCATTCTTAAAATGCACTGTAAACTGCTCTTCAAAGAGGGTTTGTGATGGCTTAACTATGGCAAAGGTTCATAAACAATCATAAGGAAAAAAAATGGAAATGTCTGGTTATTAACTTTGAATATGCTGACTTTAAGTATCAGCAGCAATTTTTCTAATCAGATGTAAATTTCACAATTGTTTTAACAAACTGGCTTTAAAGTATGAAAGTGCATGGCAACATCTATTTAATTTTTAAAAAAATCCAGCAATGCAAAAAAGACCTTAAAGATGCGTTTTAGAAAGAAATCTGAACATATATTCTGAAGGCAAACACTAAAATGGCTGGTGTCCTGGTCGCCTCAGTTCCCATCAAAATTGAATTTAAAATCTCGGAATTCTCATCATAAAAAGATTATATTTGTCATTGAGCACCATACAAAATACAAAAGCACCCAAATCTCTGGAGTTTGCACATGTAGTGTATTAAGAGTTCTTGGTGTTGAGCAGGTAATAGCCGTCAATGCATTGGAAAAATAACTGAAATTTTGCATCCACAATGCGTCTACGAGTCAAAACATAAATGTGTTGATCTGTAAGTTTGTTAGAAGTGCTGGAAGCACTTGTGTGTAATTTTTAGGAAGTGAGCCGTAAGTGCCTTTAGCTCTACAATGGCAGCACGATGAATAAAATAATCATCAGACATAAGCCTAGGTTAAAAAAAAAAAAAAAAAAAAAAAAAAAAAAAAAAAAAAAAACTGAACATGGGACCCAATACCTAACCGGCCAGGAGTCCAGGGCCACCTCAGAATCAAATTAAAAAACGTGGAAAAAGCTCATGTCTGGTCATGAAAATCCATGAAAATATGCCATGCATCTGATTTTGCAAAATTTCTTAATGAAAACTAATATTATTCACATGACAAAATATGACACTTATGCTGTTCACATATATATATTACTATAAGTCATGAAAAAGATCAAAGAACCTTATGAATTCAATTTTAACTTTCATAAGAAGCTGCACTAAAATGTGGAAACTATATCTGACATTAATATTAAATTAGTGGTGAAAAGAACTTCATTGTTGAGGTGTCTGGAGAACATGATGACATGAAGCCAGGTTTTCCTCTGACATCAAGACCCTCTCAAATGGCATACAAAATTGAAGTTTACTAGCAGATCCTGCTGTCAAAATTTCACAGGTTAAATAAATAAATAAAAAACACAAGCATGGATTAATAAATATGTACCAACTCACCAGTAATCAGACATAATGGATTAATTTTAGGACCTTTTCCAATCAGGTTTTTTTCAAGTTTCTCTTGAGTGGCCCATGAACACATACCATAATTTGGACATAATGATGTTTCATTTGAAGTTTCTTCAAAAATATCTCCTTTTCTGCACTTTGGTAACACCTTAAAAAATATTGGCCAACATAAAATTGACAATCTAGTGTGCGTGTTAAGTTGCTGCTGCAGAAAAGATCTTCCTTCACATCAAACTGCTCTCCTCTCTTTCTCCTCTGCTGAATTACAATCACCCTGAGTATCTTCTCAATGTCACTATATCTGTTATGCTTTACCAAATTCATAAAAAGCAAACCCACATTGAAAAACTAACCTGATTAAGATCATGTCAACTCTTTTCAAGAACATTTTTTTCAAGGACTGCATATCAATATAACTTTGTACAATGAACTAACTTATCATAAGTCCCTGGTAACATTTTAAAAGAAACATACACTTAAAAAGTAGAAACATTTCATGAACCACAGTCTTAAATGACTAAAATGTACAGCATCACCTAGTTTGTTGGAGTTATTACATATTCCTCTATGCTTATACCCTCCAATGGCAGATTATATTTACTTTGTGTCAAATCTTTGGAGTTGACAACCAAGTTTTCATGAGCATAATATGTTCTTGTGTACTTTCAATACTTGTCAACCATCCATTATTATTATTATTATTTTTTTTTTGCTGCCCATAAGAAGCTTCTTCTATCTAACTCGGCAATGTCATCTCTTGTTCCCTGCAAAAGATAAAGAATGTCAAGTCCTGAATTTTAACATGAAATGTTTATTTTTTAATCCTAAGCATATAGTATTTGTATGAAATTACACTATTTCATTCGTCTAAGCTATATATAAATTTGAAGAACATTTTCACGAAAATATAAAACAGGATATTGAACTTTGTCAAGACGGGATCTGTAGAATAACGCAGTAATTTTTTCCCATCAACTGCTGCTATACACATTGCTGCTGACCTCTAATATACCAGTGTCTATGTCATATAGAATATAAAGCATCTTCATCAGGGAATGAAGCTATCCAGGCGAATAGGTTCTATCCAGCCGCTAAACTTGTTTAAATTTAGGCTCTTAGGTTTGGGAAAATAAGTACATGTTTCTTACAACTAACAGCGTTATTTCATATTTTGCCTCAGTCTGTATCTGTTTGTTTGGCTCCATGATAGAAATAATTTCACATACATCACCAAATAAAAAACACCTTACCTTCTTTTAAAGGTGTCCTTGCCGGCATTTGGTTTTCCTTCGCATGTGAAAAAGCTTTACTAGGGTCAAAACGTTTTTTGCCTTCAACAGCAGCCAACCTTTCCTCTAGTCTTTGGACAGTTTTCTGGTGTTTCAGTTTTTCTTCTCTGAGTTTTCCTATTTCCTACATAAAGAAGAATAATGACAAGATTAGACATTGATAGAAGTTAAATAGCTCATTTAAATAGGTCACGCTGTCGCCCACACAAAGTGTGCCTGCCCATCCACAATCACATGATTTTGCAACCATCATAAACCTTTTCAATTGCAACCATTTTTCAAAGTTTTGTTACTGCTGACCAAATAAAATTAAACTCAATAAATCCTGTGTTAGCTCACATATCAATTTAACACATTCATGACATTATACTACATGATATCATATTTTATGATATATTATATTATAAGGTTAATAATTCAAAAATCACATTTTGATAGGTTTTAAAGATAAACCTGCCCCTGAATTACCTGCTTCAGATGAGTATTTTCTTCTTTCATCTTCACAACATGCCTTATCTTCTGTTTTTGGTTCTGATGCCCAAGCAGACGGGCGTACTCCTTCCCCAGTTTATCAATTTCCTGGAAAGCATCCTTATTTTGTCCTTGTAGAGCTTGTCTCTCAGCCTCATACATATCCAGCTGCTCCTAAAGATTATTTTAATTTATCATGAGTTTGATCATACACAACTACCTATAACCTATTTAAAAAATTAAAGGGTCCCTTTGCAAAAATAATTTAGCACTTGTCATTGTGAATTATATAATACATATGCAGTGTATGATTTTATATTGGACATCAAGTAAATTGCTGCTGCCAGTTTTCCTGCTTACCATGAAAATGCCAAAACTATGCCACTATATTTGCCACAGCACAATCTATGAACTCCTGGCTGTAAATGGGCAAAGCATCTCATTCAGCATGGGAACAGAGACATGAGTCATGCCAGGTCATAAAGTTTTAATCAAGTCCCAAAGATTCACAAAGAAAAAAGATCTAAAAATGCCATGAGAAGAACTCTATTTGGGAGGAGAAAGAGAAAATAAGTGAGTCATGGCACCTTACAAAGACAACTGTCATTACCTGAAAGGGTAACACTTTCTTCTGCAACTCTTCAAACTTGACTTGCCATCTGAAAAAAAAAAAAAAATCAACCAAAATCAAACAGTTGTCTGACTTTGCAATACATATTTCCCTGACATTTTTTTAAATATCTACCTTTTAAGACTGATTTCATTACAGAGACAATAATCTGTACTGCAAAATCTTCCACCTTCCTCTCTTTATTATTTGACCTGTTTAAATGTTTCATCTTTTACATTACATTTTATATCAAGTAAAAATGCAGTAAATGCCTGCAATTTAAGCAAATACATATATTCCTTCAAATTCATCTTAGCCTGATATGTCACTTTCTTTAATCAAAGCTCAATATTACCCAAATCTGGGTACAAAGAATGCACTTATTAACAATTTTGCCAAATTGAGTTCAACAATTAATCATGCCTCTAAAAAACTGAAGAGGCTAAAAAAAGTTGGACACTCTGTTTGGCTTAAACACATATAATAAGGAGAAGAAAAGTCCAGCTCATTCCCTACCTGTGGGCCTCCTCTGTCCAGTAGGTCAGCTCCTCTGTGTGGTCACTCTGTTGGTCATTCTGCATCTCAGACCTCAATTCTTCCATCTGGGCACTGAATTCTGTTCTCTGATTAAGAATTGTTTCTTCAAGCTTGCTGATTTTTTCCTCTCTATCTGCCTTGAACCTAACAAAAGAAGCAGACAAAAGACGCTGATAAAAATTCAGAACAAGCTGACCATATTATATGATCTTATAATATCATGTACCCACACACACACAACATATGTTCAACCCCACATGCAGATACAACACACAAGGCATGAACATTTATAAAAATGCTCTCTCTCTCTCTCACACACACACACACAAATGTCAAGCACATACACACACATGCATTCACCCCCCCCCCCAGCACATAACAGTAGGTAAACATGCTTAACCCCCGCACTGACAAATGAGCATTATAAGCAGATACACAGGAAGAGACAACCCAAATACATACACAAACAAATACATACAAAACACCTACATACGTACACTCTCGCACAGATATGCAGTCACATATACACCCACATTACATATGCAACACATACACATCCACAAGCCAAAACAAACACACATATTCATCAACACCTACTTGCAAAACTCTGTGTGCATCATGGAGAGTCTTTTCTGTGTCTCCACCAGCCTCCTGCTGTACTCCTCCTGTGTCTTGCTGCTCCTCTCCTCCAGCGAAGAATACTGCGTCTTCAGTTCCTCCGCAACCTCATCGCACCGTACGTTGGCCGCTTCACACTCGGCACGTGACTGCTCCAACTCTGACTGCAAACTGGCTACCTTTCCTTCATATTGGGATTTTACACTGTGTAAAAAAATTAAACAAGCATATAAACAAAATAAGCATGTTTGAAGACTTCAAATTTAAAAATCAGACCATTTAATATGAAAAAATAATGCCAGGTTCACAGAAAGAGATCACCTGGCAACAGTTCAGCATAACATTATTCAAAATTAACCAGAAGACAATGTTTACCTTATGTCTCTGGCATGATATTTCCTTTTTTTTAGCAAAGAAATCAACTCCAAAAATATTACAAATGCATTAATTTGTCAACGTGGTGTAAACTAAATTAAAAAAAAAAAAAAACGATTAAATCAACAGAAAAGCAATAGAGAAAGATCCCTCAAAAGTGCCAAAAATCCAGTCAATTTCACAATTAAATTATACATTATTGTCATATGTGTTGTTATAAAGGTTTTCAGTTTCTTAACTAAATCTACCTTTCTAGTTCTTCCTGTAGTTTATTTCTCTGTGCTGCAGCTTTGCTCTGTTCTCCCAACTTGTTGGCCATCTTTTCATTCATCTCCAAAAGGCTGTCAATCTTCTCTTGTTTTCTAGAAACAGATTGGCATGCCAAATTTTAAAAAAATGTCAGAAACCTCATATAAAATGCACACTAACTCATTTAAGTATGTAGAATATCAGTTTAATGCTTAAATTTTGAAATTAAAAAATCCCATCCAAAGAACTGACCTCTTCACATCAGTCTTCAACCTTTCCACCAGGCCTTCCTTCTCCTGAATCTTCTCCTCAAGCTGTTTCTCCTCTGTTGTCTTATCCTGCACTTCCTTTCTCGCCAACACAATCTCCTCCTCGCACTGTCTCACTTTTCCTTCCATTTCAGCAACCAGAGCTTTCGACTGCACAAGTTCCTCCTCTAGTCCTGCACACGTGTCCTTCAGGGTCCTATTGCCAGTCTTCAGACTGTCCACAAGGTCGGCCAGGTCAGCGCACTTGCCCTTGAGGTCACTGGCCTCCGCTGCCCTGGAGGTGTGATCCAACTCAAGGTGTTGTATCCTGCTCTTGCACCTGGTGATCTGTGGCACAGACATATCAAGACATTAAATGGAATGCAGATATTGTGTGCTTCATGTCAACAAAATGAGTTCTTTAACTTCTACAGAATATTTTGTTGGAAATGCCAATTAAATGTGTCGATTTAAAAGTTCTGAAAATTATTAATATATTAGAATAAGCGAGGCTTTTGATAATTTTCATATGTTAAGCAACTACTGAAAACTAACTTCCATACTGCTATAATATAAACAGATACCGAGACTATGATTATTATTATTATTAACATTTGTTGCTGCCATCACCTCTTCCTGCAGATCATGTTCCTCAGATTCATTCTGGTCAATAATGGTCTCCAGCTCTCCATAGGCTTCAACCAGTTTTGCTTCCAGTTCCACCTTGGCCAATTCCAGCTCACTGGCAAGTGTCTTATGTTTCTGCAAGTCTTCCTCCAGCTGAGCTATGCTGAGGTATTTTTCCGTCAGATTCTCCTGAAGCTGTCTGCTCTCAGCATTGTGCTCCTCGATGGCACTTGTCAGCTCCTTTTTCATAGAAACCACTGCATCTTCCAGCTTCATTTTCTCTTGGGTCAAAGACTCTAAAGTTGCTGCCTGGTTCTTCATTGTGGACTCTAGGTTACAGTGCACAGCTTGAAGTTCTTCCATTTCTTTTTGTAAAGCTTCATGCTTTTTCTCCAGTGATTGAAGCTCTTGTTGTGATTGCTCTTTCTCTTCCTGCAAATGTCACATTATTTTTCTTAATAGTACACAATGATCATCAGGCCTTTATATAGCAAAAAGCTTCTGTACTAACTTCAGTTTTAGGTTTTGATCCATCAACAATCTTAAAATGAGCAACCATATAAAATGTTTTAGGAAAATTTACAACATAATTATAAATACAAACAAGCACTATTGTATTTCAGCCACTAATGAAGTTTTTGCAATACTGAAAGTTCAAAAATATCATTTTGTGAAGTCTCTGGACTTTTTGCTTCCTCCTTGCTACTGAGCAAGTACCTATTACAGTTGTGATTCCAATGCCATAGCAGGTGTTACAAGACATAACAAAGTGCAGGAAAGTTCACAGTGCAGAAATAGATCTTGGTTATATTAAAAAAATAAATAAAATTAAATGAAATGAAATCCAACCCAAACCAGTCTCTTATTTCTAACCTGTTCATGATGGAACTGCCTCAGAGCATCCATATTGTTCTTTTTGTAGGTCTCTCTCTCCTCCTTCACATGTTCAAGGTGTGCCTTTGTGGTGGCCAGCTCTGCCCTGAGAGTGGACTCTGTCCTGGCAGACTCCTTGTCCACGGTCTCTGTAGGCAACAGAAAACAGAATGAGAACAGAGTATCAACTACTGTAAGAGATACCCCACTTATAACCCTGAGGGAGGGGGGGGGGGGGGGAAAGAGAGAGGTCGTTTTAGGAATATTAGTGATAACAAAATAATGCCCTTGTGGAAAATTGAATTTTTAAAAGCCTAATTAATTCCATATTGCCTTATAAATTTATGCTTTTATGTCAAGTACTTTATTTATGCATATAATTTAATTATATTTAACCATTTGAATGGTATATTTCTTGCATCTTTCAATATTAAACTGCTTTTACAGTATAAATATAAAACATTCAACTTTCTGATTGAACTTTCTTTTTAATAAGCTATTCTTATTCAGAAGTCTGAGCAACCTCACCTAGGTCTTTCTCTAAAAGCTGATATTTGTCCGTGATGGCTCTGATATTGTGGTTCAGCAATGCCTCTGACCTGAAATGTATTATAAAATACTAACTGAATAACTCAACAGCAGGTCTTCACTTACTTGACCATTTTTTCTCAATTTCTCCAAGGTACACAGATAGAAAATTATGACAATATTTCAATCATGATACTGAACTATGAAGTCAAAAGTAGATAATCAATGATTATGTCTGGAACTTAAGCCATGTGTGTGCGCAAGTGTGCATGTGCGTGCCTGGCACTAACTAACTGCAAATTTTGTACCACGATTCTTGTCTGACAACTAATTTTATTCACTTATATCTTAAAGCAGTTGCTCCTGTAAAGTTCTGAGAATGTAAGGACTGGTCTTTCTCCAAACAAAGGTTGAAGCTCAGTGGTAATTGCAGACTTGGATTAACAGGGCATACTTACGCCTTTAAGTCTGCAACTTCCTTCCTCAAACTCTTCAATTCAGCAGCAGCATCATTCAGAGATTCCTCTTCTTGTTTTAGATAATCTTCATTAACAAAAACCTCTCCCTTCAGAGATCTAAATGGGGTAAAAAAAACAAAATTTAAAATTAAAAATAAACAAAAATCACAATAAAAGAAGAGACTTATTATTTGCCAAATCAACCAGTAAATATCAAATATATATTTGCAACATCATATCATTCTAAAAACAGGTCACTTTCAAACCATGATACGATTTCTTACTTTAAGTAGATGAGGATCAGGCTGGTTGAGAGTTTACAAGGGTTACATTTAAAAGCAAACAATCAATTATTCACAAGAACTTCAGGATCAGTCCACCGAGCTCACCTTATAATCTCTTCATCCTCCATCTTCTGAACTTGGAGTTGACGTGTCTTGGACTCCAGGTACTCTATTTTGTCCAGCAAGGAATCCCTGTTGAAAAACAGACAGTGAGCATAAATATGCTGTGCTCCAGCACACATTAATACATTTATTTGTGGCAAATCCTTAATAAAATTAATAAATTTGGGGCTTCAACAAAATGAATACAAAGTAATATATTTGGCAAGCTGTCACAAATATGGCAGAAATAAAATCCTGCACATTTTAGCAACCTGGCAATCAGGTTCTTTAGTGTCTGTTGCTTAGTGCAAAATGTCTTTTAAATGGAGTAATATGTATTTTAAGGATATAAAATTATATCCAGTGCAGTTGTCAAATCTGGCAGTTCAAAGGACCCACCTGTAGTGAAGCATGCACACCTACATACCTATATTCCTGCAGCTTCTCATTACATTGTTCTTTACTGTTGAGATTCTCCTGTGTGAGGGTAAGACGATGTGCCAGTGCCCTCTCCCTCTCCAACTGCAGGCTGAGATCTTGGATCTTTCTCTTCGAGTCTGCCACGACTGTCTCTACTTCCCTTTGGAGTTCCTATGAAACACAGGTATTTTTAAGCCTATAAATCTTAACTGGTCAAGACAGACAGAAAATTCCTGCTATGACTTGCTAGGTTAAGAGTTTACAAACTCATTAAGCACAGCTATAATTTAGTGCTATAATTTTCATTGTCTTAATTCACTATCACTGAAGAACTTTGTGAATAAACTTGAAGTGTCAATGTGGTATTCTCCACCTTCCAACCCAGCTTTACCTGAATGCCAAGGCAGGCTTGGGCCAATTGCTGCTGAAGACTGAGGTTTTCTGCCCGGAGTTTGTCTGAGACAACTGAAACACAGGATGAGATACATTTTATCCTCAGCACAAAGAGAAGATGCAGATGTGAAGCAAAGCAAGTGGTGTGCACAAAAATAAATGTAAAAGAGAGAGAGAGAGAGAGAGAGAGAGAGAGAGAGAGAGATTTACTTACTGTGTAGCTGAGTTACTTGTTCCTCAATCTCTTCAGAGTGTGCCATAATTTCTTCATTGGACTGCTCTAAAAAGGCAGGCATTTATTTGGGTTAATTTTTTTCTCAGGATAGATAGTAATTTTATTCAAAAGATACAGTGCTATCAAAAATGTCTCTAATTCTTAAGTAAAAAGAAATAATAATAATATGAATAACAAATCAATAAATAATAATAACAATATCTGTTAATAAAGATATTCTCTGAATTCACTGTAATGACGATTTTTTGCAACAACCAAAATTTTCATTTGAAACAATTATTACGGTTCCTTAAATAAATAAGTTTTCTCGATCTCTTCACTGAATATTAGTTTTTCAAGACACTGCCACATGAAAACTGATTCATGCTGCTTCATTTGCCAATTAAAAGTGAAACTGTGATAGAAGTCAAAAATAAAAAATAAATAAATAAATGAATAAATGAAACATAAGTGCTACATCTACTGACCTAATGCCCTATTCCTTTCTTCTAAGGCAGCCACATTTGCCCGAGAAGCCTCGAGATCTGCCTGCATTGTTTTGGTCATCACATCGAGGTCATTCTGCAGGTCAGCGACCTCTTGGTCCTTCTTGGACAACTGGACATGCAGACTGGTCAGCTCATCCTTCAAAGTGTGCTGGCGCTTGTTGGAACTGTCACTTGCATTAACCTGGAGAAGGCAGCATAGTAAAAGAATAGCCAAGTGATAAATTGCGTTATCAGTCTTACTCAAATACAGTTATCAAAATGGTGTGCATGTATCTGTGAACACCCAAGTGCATGAGATTTTTTCACAACATTATCAAGTATTTTGCTTACAAATTTCAAAAAGCATTAAACACCCAATGTGTGTGCATACTCTCCTGTTTGACTGTGCAATTCAACATCTATTTAATATCACGACTGAATGGAACATTAACATAACTCCTAACTAACCTTAGCTTTAAGAATCTCATTTCCCTTGTTTACTTCCTTCAGCTCCTTTTCTAACACTGCCACCTGAGCTTGCAACCCACTCCTGTCTTTATACGCTGCCTGAAGTTTCCCATCCAGACGAGTTATCTCCTCCTCCTTATTTGCCAGCGTCTTGTCTTGTGTCGCCCTCTCCTTGAGAAGTTTTTTAATCTGAAATTTCCAATAACAACCATTTTATGTCAATTATATTAAGAAAACATAGTACTGAGAATATAGTTGTAAGCCTTATGGATTTGAAATTTGCAAATACTTGGGACTAGGTAAAATAATAGGGATGCCAGGTCTTAAGGGGTCATATTTCTGAAGTGGACCTTTACAGCCCTTTAGTTGACCCCACTGAGAGAATTACAGCTTTAGACCCTGGACAAATTTAGATTCAAAGCTCACTGCTTTCTTTGCCTTCAGTCCTGGACTAGTATAACAAAAGTCTAGTCTACTATTAGACACTGAGGAGAATAAAAGATTTTGATAAATATATAAATTATTAATAAATTAACAAACTGCAAAAAACCTCATTGGGTTATTAAAGCACTTATTAATATCTGATCCGTTATTAAATTCCTTATCAGTGAGAATATAGTAGAATTTCATTTCATATGTACTCATAAGCATGTATCATTCTTTAAGAGATAAACCGACAGATATAATGATGCAATACTGAAAATAAATATTGCAATACGAAACAGCATGTTTGGGTTGTTTTATAAGGACAAGAAACCCAATACTCACCTCTCTCTCCAGGTCTCTTTGTTTAGAAAGATCTTGTACAGAAAAACTTTTCTTGCTCTGAAATGAAAAGCACAGTAAAAATGTTACTCATTCATGTTAAGTTCATATGTCAAATCAGAAAGTTGAAAATTAAATAAATTTGCATAGTCATAGCCATTACAAGAACCACAATAATTAAAGAACTAACATCTTTTTCTTAACGTCATAAAAATTTAAGCATTCACTATTTATGGACTAGTATTCTGAGTATGCCTTTCAAAGCAAGTAAATAATAAACATGACTGAAGTGACAGTTGTCAGGATTTAACAGTTACGCAGATATGTTACAACCTTTTTTTTTTACTGGACAGGAAAAATTACTTTCCTAACTCGGATATTGAAGTATTTGTTACTAAAATAAATCTGCCAAGAAAACATACAGGATAATACCCAACAACCTGGGAGCATTTAACATGATGATGCTCTTGTGACAAGAGTGAAACATACCCAAAGTGGTTACTATCACTAAAAGGACAGTAAATACAATTCATCTGAACCATGAACAATCTTAATGATAAGGCAAAGAGAAGTGGTATGAAAGATAAAGCAGTAGGTGACCATTTGGTAATACACTGAAGGGGAATTTGTCGAAGTGATTATATTGCTTTGTATCCCACCCAATCCTGTGTCATATAGTCTGCTAATCTTACACTGCCAAGTCCACCAAAGAGTTTCTTGGCTGGCGTCCCTATGCTGCAGGTGCTGCTATCAAAGGCTCCAGGTCCAGGAATCACATCTGATATATAGAGAATAAAAGAAATATAAAATGTAAAATGATGTAGTTATGAAAATCTACTAGTACATAAAATCTTTTATGGAAACCAATGATTAAGCATACAGTTTATATTATATAGCTTAAAATTAAAGATTAGATATTCAATTTTTATTTTAATTTTCACTATATTGTGACAAACCTAAAACTTCCATGGGTTTCAGTACATCATGTATAGATATATTTACAGTAAAATACAAACTTATACCTTTGGGGGTTTTAAATCTGCCATCATGAATAGGTGCACAACCTTTTACTTTTTCATGCAAATTGGGATCATATGCACCAGGACCTGGGGCAGCATCTGGAAGAGATTTAAAATATAGCACAATTACTCGCTTTAAAAAAATCACATTATTTAAACATTTTCTTCTCCAGCAGCAATTGGCAATCATGGGTTCCCTACATATAACCAGGCTTCAATTTTGACATTTTAAAGTTTCATTCTTTTGACATGATTACAACCTTTAAACAACAGTCTGTAGATACAATTGTCTGAAAGAGAAATTGTATGTAGATTCAACAAATCAATTAAAAATATTAAAATGGCTAATTAAAAAAAAAAAAAAAAACAACTTCATTCTTATTTATGCAGTCTAAGACATAAACACTGGACCCACACCGGGCTAGCAAATGTTTGTTATTTTATTATTATTTTTTTAGTTACTGGCCACTGTTTCTGCTTTGGCCAGTTTGGGCCATAAGATAATTTTACACCGCGCAAAGCGGCTTGAAATTATGTGGAACAGTTTGAAGGGCAGTAAATCACTTTTTGGACAGAATGTTTGTGTTTTACAAAGCAATGCACACTTACTGTTAACATCATTGAAACGCTTTGTTTTTGCCTTAGGAAATGACATTCTCTTTCAGCTGTATTCCAAAAATATCGAGCAGCAGAGAAATATTCCTAAACAACCGCCAATGTTTTAAAGCACTGCCACCTTTTGTAGAGAATGTCCAATCAGAAATCGGCATCACATCTCGCAAGAAACGAGAATACACGTGAGCAACTGCAGCAGGCACATCAGCCGAAAGAGTTGTTCTATCAGAAGTCAGAATTAAGACTTAAATACTTCTTTTGATTTCTTAATTTTGCAAAGGAAGTCTTTGTAAAGATGCCAGAAAGTGAGTACATTGATCTCTCTCTCTCTCTCTCTCTCTCTCTCTCTCTCTCTCTGCTAAGGCCACTATACCCCACTATACTAGTGCAACTTAAGTTAAGAAGTGGAAAATACATGTATTTTGTTAGCATTTACTTCGTATCACCTAATCAATTTTTCGTTCCCTTTAAGGAGATACGGAGATATTTTCAAATCCGCTGCCTCCACCTAACATGGGGCAGTTGCAGGAAGAGGAGGAAGACGCGTAAGTAAATTGTTTAACTCTGTGGTGGTGTGTGTGTGTGTGTGTGGGGGGGGGGGGTAGTAGAGTCTAGACTACAGGCATCTTTTATTATTTTTTTCCATGCATTGTTGATTTTTAATAGTTAAAATAAGTGAGCTGATAAATGCTTTCAGTAATTAATGACCAAAGAAGTATTATGTTAATGCACCCTGAGAGTCAAATTACAATTCCTGTGGCAGTGTACTTATAATTGTATATGCTTTCAGTCATCCATTGACCAACGAAGACTTTCGTAAGCTGATGATGACTCCCAGGGTACCAGGCATGGGCTCCTCTTCCTCCTCACAGTCCTCGGCTGCTATGGCAGATAAGATGCCTAAACTGTAAGTTATGTCATGCTTGTAATGTTGAAAATGATGTTGGGTAAAAACAAAGGGGAAGATTTTGGCATAGGTCATACTCCAGTGTTCATTTCTTACTTAATGATGTCTGTTTCCCTTAATATGGGAACATAGGCCACCTACAAAGACCTCAGACTTAAGTGTTATTGCATCAAAATTGTGTGCATTCTAAAAAAATCACTACTTAGCACTACTAACATGGGAGAGGTAAGTTGCTCTGCCATAAGGACTGTCACTATCATGTACACTTATTCTAGGGTTACATACCTGCTAGGCAAAAAAGGTAATAATGAATAGAAAAAATTTGAAAATCATCCCACGAAAGCTGATGATTGAGATGACTGTTAACAACATCATTACTATTTGTTGTTATTATTATTATTGTTATTATTATTATTATTATTTAAAACCTGTTTTCCAAGATAACATCAAATGTTGTAATATTGCTGTTATCTGACTTAAGTATTTACTATATTTATTTTTCAAACTTTCAGCCCAAAAAGCATAGAAGAAGAAAGTGATCCCGCAGTGAGGAGAAAGAAGAAAAAGCTGTAAGTTCTGATTTTTCAACACCCTTTGACATCCCCTTATCGTCCTCCTTGTTTTGATCCTACTTACATTTTTGATTTTCAGTTTCATCATATGTAGCATATTTGCTAACTGGATACAGGATGATAGAAATTATTTTACAGAAAAGAGAAATAAATAACTGCTTTGTTACTTGGATGTTTCATGGGTTATGATATGATATGATTGGAAGGTAATCATCATCATTGACAAGTAATATTGCTCATGTCATGTCTCTGAAGTGCCATATTAAGGTGCTATATTTCTTGCGACCTGCTACACATCTCTGAACTGCCATTCTCAGGTACTATGCCAAGCTGAAGAAGATGGAAGAAGAAAGACAGAAAGAGTTGGCCAGCAAGTACAGAGACAGGGTAAATACTTTATTCCCACAGATACCACCATTACAGAACTTTTAAATATTTGGTAAAATACTGGACTTCAGGTAAAAGCCCTCACTTTGGTCAGAGATAGGTAATCAAGTATAAAGAAACTGAACAGATTTTGTCCATGAAAATTTGGATAACAAGAGGTCAAAACTTAAGTTCACAACGGCATTGTGTGTATCAGTTAAAAATCCTTCCTGTCCCACTTTTTGTCTTAAAAAATTCTAAATTCACCAGTGAAGTTATACTGTTACCTGAGCAATATATGCCAGAACACAACTTTTTGATGCTCAAGAGGGTGGTAGTGTATTATATGATACCTGCTTGGGGAAAGTACTCATATTTCACAAAAAAAAAAATGATTAAAGCATACGTCGCCACGGTCAAATGACATCCATAGGTACATATAAATTGATGAACCTCTGTTTTCAGGCAGCTGAGAGAAGAGACGGAAAATCAGAGTACCAGGAGCCAGAAATGATCAGCACCACCGCTGACTACAGGGCAGTGGCACCTGATGCTAAGGCGTAAGTTTAATGTCCAAATATTTCATAGAGAATCAGCTTATATATGATCAACTAATGTGTGTTTATATTTGACTGTTCACACAAAAAACTTGATTTGAATCATCGTGGGTGTCTAAATTTAGCATTTTTCTTATATTCTTGACTAAAAGGGATTGTTTACCTGCCTTGATTTATCTTGGAGTTCTGTTTTCATGTGGCATTTTTCACCATGGTTTATGTTCTTAGGAACATGTTAACTATGTCAATATTTGAGCAGTGTGAGAAGGATGTGACCATTCCATGAACTTTGAGTGTGTAAGCTTTGCTTATTTGGATCAGAAGAAAGTTTAAATCAGATGATGTATTCTATTACTTCTTTCCAAGTTAGACTGGTCCCTTTTAAACTAAAATTTGAAGTGAGTCTGAAACATTACAGGTTACTGTGATATATGCAGAAATGCCCCATATCAGAATTTCTGTAATACACATTGTTTTTGTGAATACCCTTTTTGTTGTTGTAGAGGAGAAAGCTATGCAGAGAGAAGAAAGCAGGCCATCCAGGAGTCCAAATACCTTGGAGGAGATATGGAACACACACATTTGGTGAAAGGGCTGGATTATGCTCTTCTGGACAAGGTACTTAACATATTGATACGTGTCTTTTTGGGTTAACTCAATTTTGCTAGAACAAGTCCACCAGATGATAATGTGCATCAGGTACAATTATAACCTTTCTCAAGGCTTTGACTTCAGAAGGATTTTTATGTCCAGTGGGTCAGTTACCTGGCTAAAGAATCACTGACCTCAGCCCTCTATTTTTGTATTGGCTGGACTGTAATTTGCTTTGGTGTTGTAGGTCAGTGGTTATTTCAAACACCATTCCAATTATCTGTAACCTGAGACAAGTTGTAAACAGGTGGCAATGATTCCGAGTGCTATGATGATGAGATGTTTGTATATAAATACAGGTGCGAGCAGAGATTTCCAGCAAAGAACAAGAAGATGAAGCAGTGCTGGACGACATGTTGGTGCAGGCAAAGTAAGGGCAGATTGTTCTTTGTTCTATAGACTGTCTTCTTGCCTAGTTGACAGTGGAGAAGAATAAGGAATAAATAAAATTGCACTAGAGTTTAGTTTCATTGTTGCAACTTCTTAAAATGATATTAATACTGGCATTCTGGTTGGAATGGGTTCGGGTTGGAATACTTTACCCATGAAAATTGTATATATTGTTGGCATTGTATTGTTGGCATTGTAATGTATTAACACTGTCTAGTTCCCCAACTGAAGTTATATTTGTGGAAGAAGTCAAGGTTACTCAGACTCTCCTTGTTCAGTATAAAGAAGATATTGGTGATAGGTCCACATGAATGCGTTGTGTAACGCCATTTATTCTAATGTTTTCACAGGGAAGAGACATCTGAAGAGGAAAAAGTGGAGCTGAAGACACCAATAGGTAAGACATATTTAACACCGATCTTAAACTGGACTAAAATATTCTTTACCAACCCAGTATGATATTTTCTTGAAAGTCTTCAAAGATTAAACTATGCACTTATGATATGTTTTCATATTTTCAGCCAGAAATATTTTCCGAGTCCTGTTCAAGCAGAAAGCCCCAGAGAGGAATGAATTGTTTGGTCCCAAGCGTATGGCATATGTTGTAGACGTTGAGGACGAGTATGCAGAGACAGACATCCCCACCACCCTCATCAGGAGCAAAGCTGACTGCCCCAATGTAGAGGTAACAGGGTATCCTTCGACAGCAGGGATTTTAAAAAGGGTTTTCTTTCCACTAACCTCTCCCCCCCCCTCCTCTCCCCAGGGTCATGGTTGGGAGGCATGGACTATTGCAATGAAAAATCCCCCCCCCCCTCCCCACCTCTTCATTATTTTCTGACACAGTGACATACTTTCCTCCTTTGGCAATGTATGCCCACGCCTCAGCCAAACATAACTGTTATCTCAGTTTGTTTGTTTTTTTTACTTATATAAACCTTGAGACATTTTGTATTATGTTTCAGTCCACCACTACTCTGACCACCAATGACATTGTCATCAACAAACTAACTCAGATTCTGTCCTATTTGAGGCAAGGAAGGAGGGACAAGAAAAAGAAACTGAAAGAAAAAGGTGAAAGTGATGTAAAGGCAGTATTTAATGAAGAAGCTTAGTTATGTCTTATAGAACCATGTACTGACAAACCAAAGACAATCACTGAATTAATAATAAAGGAGATCTGTTTGATCGTAATGCACTAGGTATTTTCTGTATCAATTGTTCCATTTCTTATGATGCAGAGAGAGAGAGGAGGTCATCCCACATCCTTATTGTTTGTGATTATTGGTTGACATGCACACATTGATATTTTTGCAGGAAAAATTAAGGAGGAGAAGGTAAAGGAGAAGCTGCAAGGTGCTGATGATAAGTAAGCATATTATTCAGATGATTGCATCATTAAAGTAATATATTTTGACAAAATAAAAGAATTCTTTAGTTCAGTTTCCTTCTTTTTATAGATATGTTCATTCCATTCATTATTTTGAATATGCTTAAAGGATTTGAGTCTTTTATGTTGCTTTTCAACCATTGCATGCTAATGTTAAAAGAAAATAAGGCACATAAATTATAAGTTTTCAATAATATCATATTATTTAGGAGATAACATTTGTAATCTTCAGATCTTCAAAATACTTTTACTCCTTTACAGTATCTATGGAGACATTGGTGATTACAATCCAGCTTATACCTCAGCAAAGGAAAAGAAAGAACGTGATAGACGGGACAGAGACAGGGACAGGGATAGAGACCGGGATAGAGATCGGGATAGAGATAGAGACAGGTAGAGAAAAATAAAACTGTTTACTTTTTAAAGCATTGGCTGTTAATTACTCATGGCAGAAAAACCACTTACTTGGGTCTTGTTTGCTTTTGAATGTTGAGTGTCACAGTATAACTAGCAAATCTGTTCGAATGGCAAAGAAAATACACTTTTCAAATTTGTTTTATTTTACACAGCCAAAGTTTTGAATGAATTTTACCATGACTATTACAGATACTGCTGGTTTTATACAGAGATGCAAGAATAAATTTATCAACAAAAATGTGTTATGAGGCTGATTTTCATGTCAGCAGTTGTCTTACTGTACTATGATGAAAACCCTGTGTACATTTTGTAGAGAACGCAGAGACAGAGATCACGACCGTGACCGCGAGCGTGGCAGAGACCGCGGAGACCGAGATAGAGGACATGACAGAGACAGAGGAAGGGACAGAGACAAGAAGAGAAATTACTTTGAGAAACCACTTGAAGAAGTGAGTTTATTGTACAAATTTGTGTAGTGGTCAGGGATTTTTCTCTGATTCAACTAAAAGTTGCCTAGGCTTTGTAAGATTTTCTGTGAAGAACTCAGACAAGATTATTGCTTCATATGCATATGATATACAGTTAATGACAGTTTCAAAGCTCACAGACTTTCAATTTATTATTGATGTACTTAACCTCGGTACTTGGTAGTAAAACATTTGTTTTGTCCTTACAGGAAGAGGAAAGAGAAAAGGGTCCAGAATCAGCAAAAGAACTGGTGAAATCAATAAATGAGAAATTCTCGAAGGTATAACATCTTTTCACATAACAAAAGGCTAGTTTCACAGCTCAGCTAACTACAGTTACCAATTGTTTATCTTACTAAATCAAATTTTGCGTAATGACTTTTTTATTAGATGAAACATATATGACTCTTTGCAGAACTTGTATATTCACATACTGTTGTAGTGCTAGCATTTTTTTCCCTTAGCCAAATTGCTACTTTGTTGTTTATCTGTTGTCCAAATGGTTATAATTTGACTAAAACAAGTCAAATCGAGCCCTTTTTGTTTAGCCAATTTAGGTAGGTTTTAGCATTTTGGCTAAATTGTCGAGTGTTAGCCCTACCCCAAACATAAGTGGGACAAATTAGCATTGCCTTAATGTGGTTTTATTTCTGTATTCAGGGTTGGGCTCCTGCAGACCTGGAGCGTGAGGCTGGACTGGGGAGAACTGCAGGACTGGGTCCAGATACAAAACCGTAAGACAAATTCTTTTTTGATACTTTTATTATTTAATAATTTATTTATTTGTTATTATTTAAATATTATTTTTGTTTGTTTGTAGTTGCTTGTTAAATTTCTGTGTATTTATACATGTATACATCGCCTGCTCATAATGTTTCATGCAGCCATCATCTGTCAAGGTGTAGAAAGGTCAACAATGACAATATCAAATGTTAAACTTTTGATAAGCAAGCTGTTTTTACACATACTTCTTTCTGCATTATGACTTTTATGGACCGAGGGACTTCGTTTTGTTTCAGGGTGAAACAAGGAGGAGAGTTGCTGAAAAAACTGAAAAGGAAGACAGAAATTGATAGTTATGCTGAATGTTATCCAGGGTAAGACGGATGTACAAGCTCACTCGCTCTCTCTTTCTCTCTTTGTTTTGCTGTCTCTTGACATCTCTTACTCAGTCTCTGTCTTAATTTCATTCTCAAAATACAAATGTTAATCGATATTACTCAAGAATGTTTTTGATACTGCATTACTAAATCCTAACAGTTCGATGGGTATATGTTATAAGAGTCATAAATGTAGATGTTATTGCACAGAAAGCTTTCTCCTTGAAATTTTGTTTACAGTACATTTCCACAATTTGGAAGAAATGTGCCAAATTATCTATGATCTATTGTAGTATGGAGGAAGCAGACGATGCCATTGCTGACTCTGATGATGAAGTAGACTACACCAAGATGGACATGGGTAACAAGAAGGGGCCAGTGGGACGCTGGGACTTTGACACACAGGAGGAGTACAGTGACTACATGGCTAACAAGGAGGCTCTTCCAAAGTAAGTTTTTAATTTTCTGAATGCTTTTTTATACTCATTGATTAAATCACTCACATTAGTTGGAATTTAAGTTTGATTTCGTGGTCTGGTTTTGTGAACATTGGTGATCGTCTCAAGTTCTTTTATTAATTGCATTTTTGGTCTTTTTAATAATTGATTAAATCATTTGCTTTCTCAAATGGTGTTATGAAACATTTGTTTGAATAAAAGTGTGATTCTGTGGTCTGGTTTTGTGAACATTGGTGATCGTCTCAAGTTCTTTTATTAATTGCTTTTTTGGTCTTTTTAATAATTGATTAAATCACTTGCTTTCTTAAATAGTGTTATGAAACATTTGTTTGAATATAAGTGTGATTCTGTGGTCTGGTTTTGTGAACATTGGTAATCGTTTCAACTCCAGGGCTGCTTTCCAATATGGAGTCAAAATGGCAGACGGCAGGAAGACAAGACGCGCCGGGCCCAAGGATGAGAAAGCAGAATTAGATCGTGAATGGCAGAAAATTCAAAATATTATCCAGAAGAGAAAGAAAATGGGTGAAGAGGGAGATTCTAGAAGTAAAAGAGGGAAATATTGAATAGAAAGAGGACTTGGTTGAAAGTAAAATATTACAAATAAAACTTACTGAGAAGTTTCGTGTCAAGCCTGTATAAAATAGGCTTGCCATTTTTGTAAAGGATATTTTTTTCAGATCTTTGTATGTATATCAACCACCAGTTGTTCTCAAATTAGAAGGTGATCTTGGATAAAGGGCGTTGTTGTAAATACAATACAATACAATGTTTAACTAAGCGATCATACTCTTTCTTTAAAAAGTTTAAAAAAAGAAATGAAACTCTTCTACCTCTTTTCTTGATGAAGGACTTTCACCTAGAGTGTACATACAGCATACTTAACGAATCATTGGAAGAGTCCTTTTATATTTTTGTGTTTAGATTTTTCATGTCCATTATCCCGAAATGATATCATAACGGTGATTTTAGAGGTTGATCATCGAGAATATGTATACAATTCGACAATAAATGTAACATTCAATATGAAGTTGCATTGTCTTTGTTGGTCTGTGGCAACTCAGGAATTGATGCACTATCAAAAAAGTGCTAGAAGAAATATGTGCCTTTATTTGATTGAGCAACTACCATGTTAATTGCTAATTGGAATCTGAAATAGGTGTATCAACGTGAGAAAAAAATTTAATTTGAAGCGTAAGACGTGGGCATTTAAAATAAAGAATTCAAAAGAGATTGCCGGGGCAGGTGGCGGGTCTATATTCACTTGAAAACTTTGATAGTATCCAGTATTTAATTGGGTGGCCCTGCAAATATGAACACGAGGAGTGAACTTTTGGGGCAAAAAAGGAAAATTTCAGGGAAATTTGCACTTGCTCTCTCTCTCTCTCTCTCTCTCTCTCTCTCTCTAAATATGCCAAGAGACAGTTTGGTAATAAAGAAGAGTGCGTTTTTTAGTGTTGTCTCTACTTTAAATCCGACAAATCGCTTAGCTCGTTCTTACAGGAATATCGTACATATTTGAAAATATTTCAAAATCTCTTTTTATGTACAGACACAGATGTGTCTGTACATATAGCCATCACCTGCGTCTGTCATCGTCGCCGTGCACTTTGACCACCGATAACATGATAAGTGAAAAACCGTTTTACCTTTTGGCTTGAAACTTACAGAACTGATGAGCTTTCATAATATGCAGGTCCAGTTCGAAAATCAGCATGATATGGCCATCTATATGGAAGTTATGCTGTTTTTTCTCTTTTTTCAGCATATATGCAGCACCGATAACACAATAAATGAAAAGCTGTTTTACCCTTTGGCTTGAAACTTACAGAACTGATGAATATTTATAATACGCAGGTCAAGTTTGAAAATCAGCATGATTGGGTCATTTTTAGTGAATTTAGGCTATTTTTTCACTTTTTTTCAGCATATATGCAACACTGATAACACAATATAAGAAAAACAGATAGGCCAATTGTCATTATACTCACAGGAGTGGCAAATCTTACTAAAACGCAGGTTGAGTTGGAAAATCAGCATAATCGGTCCATTATTTTAGAAGTTATGCTGTTTTTTCACATTTCCTCACATTCAATTCTTAGGCATGTTAACAGTCTCATTATTGAACTAATAAGATACTTAAATGTGTTTGTTTGGCATTTCCTGCATCTTTACAACATTGTTAGTTGATTTTGTAAAAATGATGGTAAACTTGTTATCATGTATTGTGTAATAAAGTGTCAAAAATGGAAATAAACACATATTATTGCAGTTTGTCAGATTCAATCATCCACTATGTTCAGAATCTCATAATGGAGGAAATTGGACATATAACACTGTCTTATTGATATTTTTTCCATCTCATCAATTTTCTTAGTTGGTCATATAAAAATGGCAGTAAACTGTTTATTTTGTTTTATGTTAAAAA